CCCGTGTTGTGCAATGCCTGCGGAGGACAGAAGAGGCCGTTGGATCCCCTGGACAGTTGTTAGCTGCCATGTGGGTGCTAGGATTCAAACCCAGGTCTTCTGCAAGAACAGCCAGTGTTCTTAACCGCTGAGCCATCTCTCCAGCCCTGTTATTGTTTTTTAATATTTATTATTTTTATTTTATGTGTACAAGTGTACAGCCTGCATGTCTGTGAGTGCACCCGTGCTGTGCAATGCTGTGGAGGTCAGAAGAGAGCTTCAGATTCCCCTGGAAGTGGAGTTAAGGATGGTTTGTAGCCGCCATGTGGGTGCTGGGAATCAAACCCAGGTCATCTGCAAGGGCAGTCAGTGCTCTTAACCACTGAGCCATCTCTCTAGCCCCCATTCTATTATTTTAATGAAATGTTTAATGAATGAAACCAGTGATTCATGGTTCATTTGATTTTTCTGAGACTCATCAGAAAATGAGCACATTTTATAGTCATTTTGGATCTTTGTATACAAACTTTAAGTGTAGCTCATATAAATAAATTTTCTACTTGCCCAGATTTATTTCTAAAGCTTCGAGGACCTGGGCCTTTACTTATCCTTGAGGCTGCAGGGCTAGCATGTCAATACCTTTGTGTTATAATTTGATCTCTAGTGTGAGAAAGCCTAAAAGAGCCAAAGAGCCACTACGTTCTTAAAGCAGTTCCATTAAACCACGGGAGGTTAATGTTAATTCTCTAGGTGAATTTCAAAAGAGTTATAAAAAGATGCCTCCTTGTTTGAGATGGCATTTTAAAGGACCTGTGAGCGTAGACTGAGTCACTTAACTCTGATTAAAAAAAATGAGGCAGAAATTAAATGTTTAGGACAAGTTCAAGAGACCAACCAGTCCCCACCCCTCCCCACAGCTGGCCAGCTTGAGACTAGATGTTGAGACTTTACATGCTCACTTGAAACACATTTGTTTTAAGCCCTAAGTCCTGGTTAGGAGTTTCTACCAGCTTGCTGATGCTCAGAACATCTGTCAAGGAGTGACCAAAACAGATTATCTTTATATAGTTCTACTTCTAGGGGACCTTTATGGTTTAATCACAATGTTTGGTTGGCGGGGGGGTAGATGATCTTTTAAGACAAGGGAAAATAACTTGCAGAAAATATGAGTCTGTTTAGCCTTGTTGGTTCCTTGTCTTTTCTAATGTTCCTTTACACAGCCTCAAATCTACTTTTACGATGTTCAGGAATGCACTTGTGGGTGGGAGACTGAGTGGGTGTGGTACTTTAGAAAGGAAATCCTCACAGAATATTTTAAAGAGCTTCTAAGTATTTGATAGCAGGCCTGTCTGAACAGGAATGTAGGATGGGCTTTAGTCCCGTGAGAGCAGATGAAGTAGTTTGTTGCTAGTCTGAAAGGACCAGTGGTCCTTGTGTTAGAAATGCTTGGGGTCACAAAGAAAGAGACCACCAACACTCCAGGTAAAGCCGGACAAGGCAAACTTTACTTCTGATCAGAGGGAGAAGCAGGCACTTGGAGTCAGGAATACAAAAAGTTTTTATCCTAACACCTAATGCAGGAGGGCTGTGTCTTCCCCAGCTGGGGTCTGAACTCAGTCTTTGCTGGTTGGCTAGTTTAAAAGAATCAGCACAAATGAAAGGGAAGAGGGGAAAGGGTTGATCAAAGTGGGAGAAGGGCCCAGCCTCACCAGGGCCATCACGGTTTAGTAACTAAAAGTTTTATAAGTTGTATGTCATGAAAGATTAAAAGATTAGAATTCCTTGTCATTAACCAAAAGTTAGGGGGGGGTGATAAAAAGATCTGAACTCATACTAAAAAGTTTTAGACTGTTTGAGATAATATTTCAATATTATTAATGACTAATAGTTAATGTTTCCTACATTTGGAATACTTGCTGGAGAAAACAGAGTTTGGGAGGATCTGATACATCCAGTACAGAATTTTTTAAAATTTATATATATTTTTATAACATTTTACTTATTATTTTAGGGGGCTGAAGAGATGGCTTAGCAGTTAAGAACACTGGTTGTTCTTGCAGAAGACCCGGGTTCAAATCCCAGCACCCACATGGCAGCTAACAACTGTCTGTAACTCCAGTCCCAGGGAATCCAACAGCCTCTTCTGACCTCCGCAGGCATTAATGACACGGGTGCACTTATTTACATTCAGGCAATACACACATACATATAAAATAAATGCCACGGAGGTCAGAAGAGGGCTTCAGATTCCCCTGGGACTGGAGTTAAGGATGGTTCATAGCCACCATGTGGGTGCTGGGAATCAAACCCTAGTCCTCTGCAAGAGCAGTCAGTGCTCTTAACCACTGAGCCATCTCTCCAGCCCCTAAATATAATATTTTTATTCTGTGATAATTTCATATATGCATGCAGTGTATTTTGAAAATGTATAGTTTTGTGTGACAGTCATGCCTTTGACCCCTGTCTAAATCCTAGACTGTGAGTGGGTTTTTTAGGGCAGCTGATTTATAGGGACTTGCCCTCATCCAGCAAATGCTCATTAACCACAGGCACAGTAGCCTGACTCTGCCCATGAGTTCAGCCCAGCCTGATTAGTAGACCACAGTGGGGGAGGTCTGTGAGCCTAGCCTGGGCACAGCATGCATGCACCCCTCAGGAAGCAGCCGGCAGTGGGGGAGAGGGGCATGGACGTGGACAGGATGAGATTCAGTGTCCACTTCATACAGTGTCTGTGTGTCTGTCTGCCAGTCTGAGTCAATAGAAGGGCACTTATCAGATATAGTGGCATGTACCTTATATGTAGATCTGGACCAGAAGAAAGTGGTTTGGGTTGAGTTTCTTAGAAAGTTAGCACTAATTTCAAACATTTCTTAGCTTTGGCTTCTAAACCTCTAGGAAGGAACTGTACCTGATTTCCTTACACACATGCACACATGCACATATGCATGCACACACATGTTCCTGTCTCAGATCACAGCTGAGGCCCAAGGTTCCATCCAGACTCTGGGCTCCAGGAGCTCCAGAACACCTTCCTTTGTTATATGAATCCCTTTCTCCTCTGACTTCTGCCCCAGACTCTGTTCCTTTCTAGGCCTCAGGGCACTTTTCTGTCAAGTGAGAATAATCACTTTGAAAGATTATAAGGCTTGGAGAGGCAACTCTTTTTGATGCTATAAAACAGCCCTCCAAAAGTACAATATAGGTCACTATAATTAAAATGACAAAAATCACCATTTTGCTCTCTTTTCCTGAAAAACTGGTAATCACCTAAAGAAATAGAAAACTCAGTACCACCAAAATAGGACTGAGGCCTGTTGCCCTATTGCCTCCCTGGGCTCTTGGCCCTCTCATCTGCCTTGTCTGTCACAGAAGAGTGACCTTTCTGTAGGATGACATGGTTCCTCACATCTACCCAGTCAAGTCTGTGTACACAGCCTGAACACCCAGCCTTCCCTGCCAGCTCCAGTGCCCTGGCCTCTGTCTTTATTTCTCATATCCTACTCATCACAGTTCTTGCCTTGAACAGTCTATTCAACTCACACCGGTGGTGTTTTGCTTTGTTGTTGTTTGGGTACTGCTTGCCCTGTGTTGTACTATTGTTAGTCACCTGTTCATCAGTATTGCTGTAGGTCTGTCTGGCATCTCCACACACTCAAGAACTTTTGATTTGAGCACATAACCCATGCCTGCTACCAGGCTGCAGAGCTCAACAAAAGGCAGCAGAGGAGAACAAGTGAGCCCAGTCTTCTTCCCAAGAAGAGGGTGGGCGGTGGGCTGGGGCTGAGCTGGGCGGCACTCAACGTTCCTACATGAGGGGTGGGAAGACAGCAGGACAGCACACTGCACAGTTCCTTACACACTGACTGCTCCTTCAAGATTGTGCTGGGCCAAGTTGAGTGAAGAAAGGAGACTGCAGGCGAGGGGAGGGATGAAGAGACTGGGTGGGGACCCTGAACGGACCCCTCTCAGGGTATGGCTGGCCTGCGAGAAGTGGTGTTGAGGGTCCTCCTGGGCTACCGTAGCCTAAGCATGTAATTCTGCATGGGCAATAAGGTCCTGGGCAGAGAACTGCTGCTGTGGTCCAAGGTTAGTCATTTCCTTGAATCAGAATAGGAAAGAAGCCTCTTCTGCCTTTCTCATTGGGGGAAGGCTAAAGGGCATGCATATCATTTGTTTCACTTGGGTCTCTTGCAGGCAGAAGCAGAGGCAGGAGGATTGCCACAAGTTCAGTTGACTAATTCAAGGGAAAAGTCCTTATTGCAGAGCTATTTCCGTTGCTTTTAGAAGGCCAGGGGTTAGGTAACTTTTTCATAGCAACAACTTTACTTATTTGCACTTGGGATATTGTGAAACTTGAGTGTGGGTAGGAGAGCCACCCTCAGCATGGCACTGGCCTCTAGTTCTACCAGGTGGGCCTCTTCCTGGTCCACATCATATGCTCTTGCTGGAAAATAACTCCTCCTCTGTAATCTTTGATCCCAGATTGTTCACAGGTAGAACATTCTAGTTTCTTGAGTAAACATTAGTCCACTTACTTCATGATCCTACTTGGCACACTCTTTATCACCTGAAGGGAAGCAGACCAGGCCTCCCAGCAGTGGCCCTGGAAATCACAAGGTTTTCAACATGCACTAGGGAGCGCGTAGCTGTTCTGTGCCATGCATTGGACTAATAAAAAGGCAGGATTTCTTGGTAGGGGAGGACAGCAATGCTCCCTGAAGGAGCCTTACACGCCACATGAGCGTCCTTCCTTTACAGGATTCCTAATAACATCTTATTGCTAGTCTTGCCACTCACAGATGTAAGCAGAGTGCTCTGTATAGACAATGACAGTGGTCAGTAACAGTTTTTAGACGATGACAATGGTCAGTAACAGTTTTTCACTGAGAAGCCAGAGGCAGAGATAAGCAGAGGAGGACGTGTGCTGCCCATCCTGTAGCACCCTGTGACTCACTTTGAAAGGGTTCTCTCGTCAAGTCATTGCTAAGACAACACCATTTCTGTATCCTTTCCTCTTTCAGATGCCAGTATGGACAGAATAGCTTATGATGCTTATCCCCGCTCACCATTTCCGAGACATTGAGCGGAAACCAGAATACCTCCAGCCAGAGAAGTGCATCCCGCCTCCCTACCCTGGTCCTGCGGGAACCATGTGGTTTATCCGCGATGGCTGTGGCATCGCCTGTGCCATTGTCACCTGGTTTCTGGTCCTATATGCGGAGTTTGTAGTCCTCTTTGTCATGCTGATTCCATCACGAGACTACGTGTACAGCATCATCAATGGAATTGTGTTCAACCTGCTGGCCTTTTTGGCCCTGGCCTCCCACTGCCGGGCCATGCTGACGGACCCCGTGAGTATGTCTGGGCTTGTTTTGACCAGCCCACACTCTCCTCCTCTGGCCCTGGAATGGCTGTAGCCCACATGCTCCCCGCTGGACTTTGGGAATTTAGAAAAAGGACAGCAAGGGCTGGGTGGAAAGTGAACTGCCTCTTAGTAGAGTTCTCAGGACTGACCAGAAAAGAGGGGCCAACACTTGTAGTAGAGCTTTCATGGCTAGGTTGAAAGGCACTGTGTACACACTGCTGTATATAGTTATTGAGCCTGCTATGGCAAGGATCCAGCTGGGGAAGGGAAAGAGAGGACTGAGCTAGGCTGGCTTGACATTAATAGCCACGTCCAGTATCAAAACCTACACAGGTGTAGCTTTCACTTTATAGATTGGACAAGATTCCTCTTTTCCTGCATTGAAGGTGGTGGTGCACACCTTTAATCCCAGCAGTCCAGAGACAGAGCCAGGCAGATCTCTAAGTTTGATACTATCTTGGCCTATAGACAGTCCCACATCAACCAGGGATACATAGCGAGACTTGTCTCAAAGCAAAGAAAGGTGGGGGTGGGGGTGGGGTTCCTCTCTTCCTGAAAAGTTGGCCAGGCCTATTTGGGGCTACACCAGGCACCTCTGAGTGTCTAGTCTGAAGCAGGGGTCCTCCATTCAGTGACTTAGCTAAATATAACAAGTGAGACAAAGGCCACTGAACATATTTTGTGCCCTGATGTTAAACCCTCCTTCCTGTTCATTATCTCCTATGTGAAAAGCCAGAGAGGCTATAATTTGACAAAGACCTTCTGTGGCTTAAAAGTTTTAGTACATAGGATGGTGGTGGTTAAACTAGCAAAGAGAAGGTGCTGCTAATGACCACACACAGTTTCGTGAACCCCAGGGAAACACAGGACAGGCCACAGGCTGAGCTAGTTCCCTTCTTGAAGGTCTGGTTTAGGTGGGTTGTTTTAATCCCTGCTAAGGGAAGGCAGTTTTGCTAGCTCAGTTACCTGGGTGGCTGGTCCAGACAGCACTCATCTTACACATACTTCTCCAAAGGCCTCATACCCTGGGGCCTGTGGGTTTATATGTTGGTGCTGCCTACAAGATCTAGAAGTAGTCACCACCCAAGAAAGTGAAGCACATGGCTGTTCTTAAAAGTGCTCCAGACACAAGGGCATAAAAGAGTTAAAACAAGTTAAGGGTTTATTCTGATTTTTTTTTTTTTTAATGTGTATGAGTGTATTGGCTGCATGTATGTGAGTATATTGCCTGCATGTATGTGAGTGTACCCATGGTGTGCAGTGCCACGAAAGTCAGAAGAGGGCTTCAGATTCTCCTGGAACTGGAGTTAAGAACAGTTCCTAGCCACCATGTGGGTGCTGGGAATCAAACCCAGGTCCTCTGCACGATCGGTCAGTGCTCTTAACTGCTGAGCCATCTCTCCAGCCCCCATTCAGATATTTTTTTGAAGCCCTTGCTATGGGGGACAGAGGAAGAAAAGACATTTTCCTGCTCAGCTCAAAGTTCAGTGCTGCTTTTCTCCCCTCAAGGTACCCTCTGTGGAAAGAAAAGTGGAGGCAGCCCTGGTAGAAGAAGCCTGTGGACAATCAGGGAGGGGTGCCAGTCAGAGGCTGGTGATAGGAGGTGGAGAGCAAAAGGCAGTAGTGGGAACAGCCTATGTAGAAATGCAGGCAGTGGCATCTCTAGGCAGCCAGTTGTTGGGATGGCAGGACCATAGGAAGATATGGGTTTGCTCTGGGAAGGTCTGTGTGGTTATAGAGGAAGAAAAGTAAGATGGGAAAGAGAAGGGACAGTCTAGCACCCCAAAATTAAAGAGTAATAAGGCCAGGATGTCATTGGGCAAGGATGGCCATGGCAGTAGCATATGGCGCACTGATGGATAGAATCACGTGAACATCTGTCTTGGCTAGGTACCAGCCTGCAAGAGGTTCCTTCCTGAGCAGTGGGCATAGCCAAGAGCAAGGCAGACAGAACCATGGCCCTCTTGAAGCTCACCTTCCAGTGATCAATGAGGTGATGGCAGAAAGCAGTAAGTTCTGTAAAGATGTAGAACAGTGATGGGGGTGTGGACCTCAGAGGACACTTCTCTAGGTCAAGGTATTCCTTCGTGGGGATGCCATTGGAGCTGACCTGAATGGCATGAAGCTGCAGGCAGTGCATGTGAAGATCTGCAGGCAGAGGAGAGAGAAGGTACAAAAGCCCAGTCAGGCCGGAATTTGTCATGTGAGAAATAGGGCCAAGGCCGTGGTGCCTGAACTGTGGTGAATAGCTCAGAGTGAGGAGGACCCAGAGTCCAGATTGCACCAGGAAGCCACCAGAGGCAAATGTGGTAGCATTGTGCTTGCAGTGGATATGCTGGAAGAGGAGGTTCAGGAGGGACTGCAGTGGCGCAGGCAATGGCAGTAGCATCAACCAGAGTGGGAACAGAGAAATTACTGGATTAGGATCATCTTTTAAGCCACTAGTTCTCAATTCTGACTGCGTAGTAAAATCCCTTGGAGAGCTTTTAAAAGTACAGTGCCTGCCCCCTGCCCTCAGAGGTTCTGCTCCAATCATCAGTCTGGGGCAGTGCTCTAGGTATTGGCACATTTGACAGCTCCCATATGGCCTTCGTTCAACCAGGCCTGAGAAGAGCTGACAAATGGAGATTGATCACAGAGTGAACCTTCAGTCTGGCCTGCAGCACCTACAGGTCTGGTGCCACTTGTTGCATGAGAAAGGCTAGGGAGGAGTGGATTTGGGAGGCCAAACCAAAGGCTCTCTGTGGCCAAACTGCCCTATTATTGGGTGAAGCAGGGATGCTAGACTAGCAGTGGAGGCCTGTTGGGATAGGAGGGTGGAGAGTGGACTCAATTGCTGTATAGAAAGCATGTGAGACCAGCCTGGGTTACAGATCAAGTTCGAGATCAGTCTGGGAAATTTACTGAGACCCTGTCTTAAAATCAAAAGTAAGAATGCTGGGGATGTATCTCAGCACAGAGAACCTGCAGAAGGCTCCAAGTTCAATCACCAGAACCTTAAAAAGAAAAAAAGGGGATGGCAGAGTTAGGTAGAAAGAAAAAAAATATATATAATATATATATGTTTTATTTTATTATTGCTTTTATGTGTATGAGTGTTTTGCCTGCATGCATAATAAATGTACCCGTGTCATGGAATACCAGCAGAGGTCAGAACAGGACATAGTCCCTGGAACTGGAGTTACAGATGGTTGTTAACTGCCATGTGGGTGCTGGGAACTGAACCCAGGTCTCCTGCAAGAACACACTGCTGAGCCATCTCTCCAGCCCCAGTTTCATCTTTTGTTGGCATTCTTATGTGGTTGTTGGCGTTCTTATGTGGTTGTTTTCTCCTATACAGTATTGAGATAGGCCTTATTATCTTGTTTTAATCTTCATATTAGTGTGCTAGTAATACATTTGTTTGCCGTAGACTATTACAACACCTAAGCAATAAAGAATCGAAGGGCCAGGGAGACGGCTCAGCAGGTAAAGGCACTTCTCTGCACAACTAGGTTTGGATCCCCGAGCCTATATAGAAGCTGCAAGGTAAAAGGCAAGGACCAGTGCTACAGGTCCTCCACACATGTACTGTGGCATACATGCCTTCACACACAAACATGTACACAAAATTAATAAAAAATTTTAAAAAAGAAAAAGCCTTTTCCAGGGCCCTTAGTAGAACTGATAAACCTGTTTGTGCCCTGACAGTAGCTTGGTTCCTGACACAGTGGCTTGGGCCTGATCCTCATTCCTCTACCCCTTAGTTGCATTGTCTTAGGAGTTGTCTGACCCTGCTTCACTCACCTCTGCTATAGAATGAGGAATTGTGTAGTCTCTGCCTCTTAGGTTTACTGTCAGAATTAACTGGCAAAATGCTTTCAGTCACAAAGCATCTGGAAGTATGCCTGGCTTGTATAAGCACTCAATAAATGTCTGTTGTATCATTATTCAGCTTGGGTTTATTGAATTCCAGCCCCATGCCAAGCCCTGAGCAATTTTGCTAAGCTACAGGTTGAAAGACATTGTCTCTGTCCCCCAGGAATTTACAGTCATGTCAGAGATGCAGTGTATAATTATGTGGCAAGTGTTAGAATACCAGTCCGGGCTGTGGGAGCCAAGGCTGCCTGTGGGTGGTGAGAAGTGAGAAGACAGAAGGAGCTGTAGTGGTTTGAAATGGGTGCAGGGGACTTTGGATGCTGCCTGCCAGGCTGACCAGGGGGTGTCAAGTGTTGCTCACACAGGGTCCTGGGGGGAGAAGAGTAAAGCTTGGGGAAAGCCCAGGCATCTACAGGGCAGCACTGTATCAGGCACTGGATTGGGACCAGGACCAGATCATTATGGCATTGTGTACCATGGTTCCTAGGGAACTAGTGTAGACTTTTAGGCCTGGAAATAATGAGAGGCAGGGAAAACCAAGAGATTCTGTGACAGTAATGTGGAGAGGAAACCGTGGGATTCAGGGCAGTTTTCAGATTCAGACTTAGGTGGGAGTAGCCTAGCAGAGGGGCTGCAGAGTATGGTAAACCATGAGAAGACCTGAGGGTGGCCACTGGGTTTCTAGCCTGGATAGTGGGGCATGCTATGCCTAGGGCAAGGAAAAGAAGAACCAGGGTTCCACTGAGCAAGAGAGTGGGTTCAGTTGTATGCATGTTGAAGTTTGGAAGTTTTATCTTGTTGCTTCAGCACCTTCTGGATAACAGGCAAGACAATATCTTTGGGTATAGAACAAGTCTGAGTCAGAGCTAAGAATCTGAATGCCATCACTATGTCCACTGTGATTGGAGCAGAGTCAGGGAAAAGGCTCAGTTCCTTCCAGGCAGTGGAGGGACCTCAAGGAAGTTGAAGACTGGGAATCTGCCATGGATCTGACCACAGGAAGTGTCGGGGAGAAGGTTCCAGAGAGCAGAGAACCAAGGAGTGAGTGAATTCAGCAGGGACAACAAGTCCACACAGTCCCCAGGAACTTGGCTATGCAGTGGGAATGTGGAGAGGGGAGATCTCAGAGCAAAGCCAGTTCTAGATAGTGAGTACCAGTGGTCCAGGGACCCAAGGCAAGGAGGTAAGGAGTATAGAGAGGAAAGGGAAGCCTAGCAGTCTTAATTTTCTCTGAAAACTAGAAAGAGAAATGGGTATTAGGCTTAGTGCCTTCCCATTATCCCAGCTACTCAGGAGACTGAGACAGGAAGATGGCTTGAGCCAAAGAGTTTAATGCAAACTTGGGCAAGATCATATTGAGACATTTTTACAAAGGAAAAAGGAGGAAAAAATGAAAATGACTAGGTGCTAAGAGAAGCCTTTGAAGTTTGGGCTAGCCACTAAGTTGACTGGTTGATGACGATGTGTCACCCACATACACATGATCATTTGGCATCCCTTCCCCCAGAGAACGCAGCTTTGTGCAGAGGTAGATAGGGCTCGCCATACCCAGAGCATAAAACGTCTATGTCTGTCATGTACTGAGTTGGCCATGTTTAAACTGACTCCATTATTTTGAAAGTGTGGGAGTGTCTTCGCAAAGCACTGGCCTCCAGTGTTTCTAGCTAAGTGTGCAGAGAGAGACATTGGTAAATGCATGTGCTCATGGTAATTAGTAGTGCTTGCCTTCTTGGGCGATCAAACCAGAATAGGTTTTTTTCTTTTCCTTTTCTCATCTGAATTTCCTTTTTTAAACCATGGTCAAGTATGCATTACTTTGGAAATGAGAGGCAATGGTATGTTTAGAGGTGGCAGGCCTGCCCACACACTTCCTGTGCCAGCCCAGGACTGCTCCCATAGCATTCCTCACAGTGAGTTGGGAGCAGTTTCCACTGAGATCTGTACAAATGAGTGTGGAACAGTGAATTCTTGGAGGGGAAGGGAAGCCACCGAAGGCTGGAAAGCACATATATCGCAGGCTCCTCATCAAGGAAAGGCTAGCAGGTTCCTGACTGGGATGCGCTCAGGTAGCTTGGCAGGTGGAGTCTTTCCTGAATGTGAATTAGCCTTCTGAGAGGTATATCAGTCAGAAGTTCACTAGAGAGGTACAGTTCCAGGAAGGCTCTGATCACTGTCTGGCTAATAGGCAATAATGAGTGGTACATAGGAAACCTCTGCTTGCCCTTGTAGGGCAGGCTTCCTCTGGCAGCCCTGTGTGTGATCTCTGAGGGCTACAGATTTTGGTGGCAGGGGACCTTCGCCAGGTGCCAGCCGGGCTGCCTCACTGTGTCTGTCTGTCCATCCTACCAGCTCCCATCACAGCCTCTGTATTGCCTGGTGTGCTGTGTGCCATGTAGATTCTCAGGGAGATTGTTGCTTGGCTGGTCTCTGCAGTTCCTCTCTGAGTCTGTCTCCTGTGAAAATGCCTGTGAAGCATTTTCTTGGCAAAAGAAACCACACCTTTCTTGCATCTAGGCATTTCTTCAGTGGTTCTTCCCTTCTTGGTGTTCTTTCTTAGGATAGATCCCAATAGCCAGTTCTTGTTCTTCCTGCCTCATGGGCCTGTTGGAGTTTGTCAGCCCCAGTGTAGGAGAACCAGGGATGCTCTGTGTGATGTTCCTTCTTCTGCACCCCAATAAACCACTCTGGAGGTTTTAAGAAGCACAGGTTTCGAGGCTGTGCTCCCTGCTGTCTTTCTGCAACCATGCTGCCTTAAGGTCTGGGTGCCTGTAGGGTTCCAAAACTTCAGTTTTAGACACCAAATGCAGGCTATCATGTCCTGAGCACTTTGCCGTGACATTGTCTGAGCTCCCTCCATAAACTTGCTGTGTATTCAGACCCTCATAGTCACTCCCCACTCTAAATAAGCTGAGTCCTGGTTCACTGTTCAGGACATTAAGGCACAGAGACCCCAGGCTACACTCCGATGTAGATTTAAAGCAAGCCCTATCTGCCCAAGTTTTCCAAGCCTACTTCCTGTCAAAGTGCTGTACCATAACCGCTCTTTCCTTCTTGATCCTTGTTCTCCCAGCCACCTTCCCCAACACCTTTTCCTGGGTATCCCTCAGGCACTTCAGATGCAACTGACCCCAGCTGACCTGTAGCTGCTCCCACCTTGCTTCTCTGCTACTCTTAACATGGCCTGTGGATGGCAAGATTTACCAGCTGTTGAAACCCCTGATTGGTGCTCCTTTCTTCCCCTTCTGTCACCTCTCCACCTCCACAGTTTAAGCTGGTCCTGTTCTACATGCTTTGTCAATTCAGACTCGAACTCTGAGTTTCCCTTCCACTTCTGCTCCATCCTCACAGTTTAGTTCTTCACCATCAATAGCCACTGTCTCTCTTATTTATTATTTTATTTTATGTGTATGAGTATATGGCCTCCATGTAGGTAGGTACACCTATGTCGTTCAATGCCTGCAGAGATCAGAAGAGGGCATCAGATCCCATGGAACTGGAGTTAAAGATGGTTGTTATTTGCCATATGGTTGCTGGGAATTAAACCCTAGACCTCTGCAAGAGCAGCCAGTGCTCTTAACAACTGAACCATCTTTCTAGTCCCTTTCTTATTTTTTTTTTATTTTTTTTTATCTGTATTTTATGTGTATAAGTGTTTTGCCTACATGTATAAGTGTACCCATGTCATATAATGCCCAAGGAGATCAGAAGAGGACGTTGTAGTTTGTTAGCCCCTCTGTGGGTGCTTGGAAACTGAACCGCAGTCCTCTGCAAGAGCAGCCAGTTCTCTTAACCACTGAGCCATCTCTCCAGCCCCACTGTCTCTCTTATTGGCACATAGAGCACGGGTACCTGAGCTTCTACCTGCAGCACCTCTGCCAACTGATGGCTCTAGGCTGCCTAGAAAGAAGCCCCCTCCCAGCCTGTGCAGGCTCCCTTCCTCTCTTTTGCTCTTCTTGTCCCTCCCCCTCCTCCTGAGTACCCTCCAACTCCTCCACTTGAAAAATTCCCTCAGTGCCAGGTAGGGTCTTGTTAGCACCAGCTGGTGAGACCTACTCAAGCAGGTGCACTGCCTATGTCCTTCTGTTTAGATGGATGCAGGGTCTAAACAGATTCTAGAGCCAGAGCACCAAGTGTTCACATGTGAATCACCAGCATGGAATGACACATGAGTGCCAGAGGCCATGGATCCCTGTTGCTTACTGTACAGAGTACCCACCCTTCATAATAGTAGCACAGGCCTTTCAAAAATAAAGCAAAGTCTGGTTCTCACACAGAACCCACTGAATGTCAAGCTACACAGTTTGGCCTGGGAGAGGTACTCTGTGGGATAGGTGCTCACTAATGGCCCTTCCCAAAGGTGCTGTTCCCAAGAAATAGAGTAGTTGTGAACCAAACTGCCACTGGGTATTTCCATGGGACAGAATGGATTCAACAAAAAGAATGCTGGCAAAATGCAAGTAGAAAAGATAATCATGGGGTCAGTGTAGTCTAGTAGCATTTCCTCGGGAAAATTCTTTATGTTGAGGTTGCAGAATATAGAGCTCTGTGTGTGTGTGTGTGTGTGTGTGTGTGTGTGTGGACTGCTGTGAAGTGACTCCCTCTACTATAGAGACAGCTGAGCTCATGCCTCTCCTCTTCTCACAGGGGGCGGTACCCAAAGGAAATGCCACTAAAGAGTTCATTGAGAGCCTTCAACTGAAGCCGGGGCAGGTGGTGTACAAGTGTCCCAAGTGCTGCAGCATCAAGCCCGACCGAGCCCACCACTGCAGGTACCGGAGTCCCCTAAGGGTTCCCCCCTTGTGTCCTTGCTGGGGTGTAGGGGGCACTAGTGTTCAAAGCACATTTGATGGGCTTGGCCTCCCCTGCTGCAGCCTCTGTTTCAGTGTAAAATTGAAGCACTGCTGGTTTTTCTGTTACCTCACACTTTGGTTAACCTGTAACATCTCGTACTTGAGATGAAGGCTTAGCTGTTGGGCAAGGCTTTCCTTTAAAGCAAATCTACAGTTAGGATACTTGTAGCATTCAAGGAGCCCGTTTTCCCATGAGCTGTGACGAGTGTTTCCTTTTTGTCCTCAGGATTTTTTGAGTCTTCTCGATGAGAAGACATCTAGCTGAAAATTGCATTTTATCATTACAAGGGAACTTTAAATAACAAATTGCAGAGACCCAGAATGTCACTTGTTGTATGTTGAGGACGAGGAAGGTTCAGAGAAAGGAGTTTGTCAGCCTGAGACACTGGGTAGAGAGAGAACTGAGTGGCTAAAAGGTCCTTCCTGTGGGGTCTCAGGAGGGGGTCTGTCTCTAGCACCCAGGTGCCAGTCCATACTGTGTGTGTCCTTGGCACCTCGGCCCACCCTACCTCCTCATCACCAGTCTTATTTCCATCCCCGTAGCCACCTCTGGAGATTGATGCTGCAAGAGGGGTGACTCCCAAGATGTAGAAGCTAAGCCTCATGGGGTCAATGTGACTGCTCTAAGGTCACACAACCCGTGGATTCTTGAGACAGAAGTGGGTCCTACCCACTTCTAGGCTCTACCTAGAAGAGGATAACTTAAACAGTGGTAATTGTGCGCTTGTTTGACTGGGAAGTGAGTGAATCTGCCAAGCAATTGCTGACTCTTTCAGGTTGCTTCCCCAAGTCAGCTTACCTGAGCATTGAGGCCTGCTTCTTATACCTGAGATGTAGTCCACTCATCTACCACCCTGCATGCAGCCCAGCCTTTGACGCTATAGAGTTTAGTGTTGTGAGTCAGCCTAGTCCTTGAACTTGCAGTCCTTGGGCCAAGTCTGAATCTTCCTAGGACTCAGCTTTCCCCTCAGTAAACAGGGGGATCCCTCCCTCAACTCAGTGAATAGCAGCATTTGGGAGGGTGGGGGCAACACAGGATGGCTTAGAGACATACTCGGTTTCTAAAGGCAGGCCAGAAACTGAGCGATAACATTCCAGGAAATAGCTTTGAGGCCACTATAGTGGTTCTTTGCCAAGTGACCAGCACAGTTCTTGGTGTTTCCCTCACTGACAGCCCCCTTCTCCCCATAATGATCCAGGGAGTGCTAGTAATCAAATCAGCTTGAGCAAAGCAGGAGCTGCTGGTTCAGACTAACCCTGTGAGGATGCTGAGCTGCCTATGTCTGCCCCTGCTGACACAGTCTTGGTTTGTTGATGGTCTGCTAAGCCCAGAGGCTGCTACCTGGTCCTAGTTAGAGAAAGCTATATAGGTCTTACCCTCTTCTGCAGAGGCCTGCATGTGTGCCTCTTTGTTTATTCCTTTGCTCCCATGGGTCCATAGAGGTTGAGACCCTCTCCATTCCCAGAGCTCTAGAAAAGACCCACAGTCACATGCAGACCTTCGACCTGGAATGTGCCTTCCAGCTCTACATCTGTGGACCTCCAGGAGAAGCCCGACAACCTCAGGCTGCTTTCATCCTGCTGGAGTCTCCCCATTTGTGAGGACCATGGAAGCACCAGGAAACCCTATGGGAGGAGCAGTTTATGCTAATGTATGGCTGAAGCCTTGAGCTTCTGTACTAGTTTATTGGAGGATGCTGCCCCACACATACCCTGAGGCTGAGCCCTTATGGGCCATCTCAACCTTGCTGGACTCCTGTTGTTTAGTCTAGTCATCATCTTTTATTTTGTTTTGTTTGGGGTTTTTTTATTTGTTTGTTTGTTTAAACAGGTTCTCCCTGTAGCCCCAACTGGCCTGCAACTTGCTATGTAGACCAGGCTGGTCTCAAACTCACAGTCCTGCCTCCGAGAGGCTTTGGAGCACCTTGTAAAACCTCGTCACCCTCAGCAGTCTTTGCTACTATGCAGAGTACTGCCTGCCCAAATAGCTCTTCTCTTCCCCTGCCCACCCCTCCCAAATCTCTCAGCCTCACAGAGATCTGCCTGCCTCTGCCTTCTAAGTGCTGGGATTAAAGGCATGTGCCACCATGCCCAGCCTTAGTCTTCTTATCCATATCACATATGCACAGCCTGATGCTGTTGCTAAAACATTTTGCATGCATTGTCTGGTGCTTGCTAAGGAGCAGGGTAATGGTACCAGACTGATTTGAAGAGTTTGTTTCTTTGCCACAGACCTAAAATGTGACCTGCCCTTAGAACCCTGTTTTGTTCTTTCTCTGATCACACTGTGTCTTCAGAGTTGCTTTTCAGTCAGAGTACATGATGCTATTAGTTTGCCTGTAACTTTGTCAGAGCCAGTGAAGTATGGAATGAAAACCTGTGTATGAAACTGTGGCCCCCTTGGGCTCTAGCCCCACTCCACTTTGGTTCTGCTCGTTTTTCAGGCCTGCTTCTTAATCCTTCACCCTCAGACTTGGGGTCCTGCCTCCCAGGCAGGGCAGGCACTACTGTCTACCATGACAGTTGGATAAGTGCTGCTGTAAGGAGAGACACATTACCCATGGGACATGGCTATGCCTCCAGTGCTGGTCCAACACCCAGGATAGGCAGAAGAGCCTCTGCCAGCTCCTTTGGAGCTGTGCACCAAAAATGAATCCTTGCACCTTCTGGACATGGAGCACAACCCAAGGGTAAATGCATTAATGCATGAGCCAGTACAAGTTTGTCCATGTCTCCCAAGATTTGGATGCTGAAAAATAGCAAGGTAGAAAGAGAAAGGAGAGAGGAGAAGCAGAGGCCTTTAAAACAATGATATTTTAAAATAGAAGGGGCACAGGGAATCTGGAAGGCCAAGACACCAAGAAATACCTCCATGTACAGACAGCATTTATTGTGTTTAGTGACTCTTGCTGTGCCCTGGATCCCCACAGCCTTGTGCCCCACCAGATCCCTTCCTGCCCTGCGCGGTACAGCCTGGCCTGGCGAACAGAAGTGCTGCTTTGCCATTTCCTACCCTTGAAAGCAGGAAAAGGACCAGCATTTTGGACCCATCTTCTGCAACCCTTGGGCCATACTCACTTTCCTGCCCCTTAAAGCTTGTCTTTGTCTAACCCAGCTGCCCAGCACCCCTTAGCCTCTTGTAAAACCCTGCTTCCTGCTGTGCACACCTGGCCTCTTCAGTGGGAAGGATGGCTTTGCTGTGAGAACCTTTTAAGCTCTGAGCAGCTTCCCGAGACCAGAGGCTGCTTGGTACCTCAGTCAGCCCTGGCTGACTGAGCACACAGTTGAAAACCCCTCTAGAAATAAGTAGGGTGGGGAGGATCAGCTCAGGAGTCTGGAACAAGGAGTGGCTGCTCTCAGAAACTCCCATGAGGAGGGAATCAAGGATCCCAGAGCTCACTGTATGGGGAAGAATATGCCAGAAGTAGGATGTGAAGGGTGACTCTGGGGTGCAGAGCACTCTGCCCTACTTGTTTTCTTTTGAAATTATCTACGGAAAGAACGTTACCAATTACAGTGTGTCATATGTATATTCACTTGTATGTTCATGTGTGTTTTAGAATTGGTAACAGAAGGCAGAACAGAGATGGGGCAGTGGAATCACTGGTCCTGGCTCTCCCTCTGCATTCTTGTCAGGCCTTTTCTTGTCTTGCTTTCCTGTTCCTGGCCTCCAGGGAGATTGTGGAGCTAGGCCAGTGTTTTTGATAAGTGGTGGTTGGCAGCACACCTGTATTATCGAAACCCTGTAGAGTGGGGGGAAGAGCAAAGGTTGCGAGCAGTATGAAGCTTGTCTGAGCCAAACTGACCCCAGGCTTGACCACAGTGGCCTAGCAGACTCAAGTCTGCCAGCCACCACCATTCCTACAGCTTGGAACAGCACACTCCATCCCTGCCAGCACACGACAGAGCTTTTGGAACTTCTGCCCGGCCCTTGGCTCTTTGGTCTTTTGAAGAAATAGGGAACAACTCTTCCTCTGTATCCTTCTACTATATAACATTTCCCAAAAAATTCACTCAGCCTCCTTAGGAAATCCAGTTCTAAAGGCTTCAGAACAAGCTTTTAGCTGGGTCAGTTCTAGCCAGTTAATGTGTTGAGATGCCTTAGAAACAAATTCCCTTGTAAGGAATGACCTGACCCTGGGGTCCTGACCCTGCCAAGGCCTTTTGCAGCACAAACCCAGTACAACCTCTGCCAGTGCCCAGGGGCATAGAGCTGGATCCAAGACACCTGTGTTCCCCTCCAGATCACCCCCCAGCACCCAGTGGTTTTTTTTTAATTTGTGTAGTGGCTGTGTATGTTGGCAGGCCCTGCTAAAGGTCTGGCTTATGGGTCATTTTAGTGTTTGCAAGCGGTGCATTCGGAAGATGGACCATCACTGTCCCTGGGTCAACAACTGTGTCGGCGAGAACAACCAGAAGTACTTCGTCCTGTTTACAGTAAGTCAGCTTCCAAACTCCGCCCTGCCTCCGAGAGGCTTTGGAGCACTTTGTTCTTTGGAAAACCTCTCTCTGACTCAACAAGTGCCCTTCATTTGAGCATGTAAAAAGTTGACCAGTTTTACTAGCTGGAAGTAAGTGCTGTGTTCTGGGCCTTACCTGAGCATTAGACCCATGTAGCTAAAGAAGACAGTGTTGCTGATGGCCTCAGACCCTGAGCTGCAGGTAGGTGGAGAATAGTTGACACCCTACCTTTTCCAGTGGGACGCAGCAGGTCTTGTGTGCCCCACATAGCCCAGGTCATGCTGCATCCAGGCAGTGTTTCTGGTCCACACACTCCCAGAGAATGATTGCTCACCTCCCACTCAGGACAGGAGGTAGGGGGATCTGTGGGGTGGGAGAGTCACAGGTACCTTTCTGACTAGTAACCTTACAGAGCATGTTCTGAGTGGCCTGTTCAAGCCTTCATGGTTAGGAAATTCTCCCAACAATGTTGTCTGCACTGCTTTCCTGTTTCAGATGTACATAGCTCTCATTTCCTTGCACGCCCTCATCATGGTGGGATTCCACTTCCTACATTGCTTTGAAGAAGACTGGACAAGTGAGTATGTGCCAGGGCTTCCGTCTGGTTCTGGGGTGTTTGTGTGACCCAAGCAAGGTGGGGAACTCTGTGCCTTTTATAGAACAAGGGCCCAACCTCACTTTATTACCTCTTCTGCAAATCTACAGACTGATCAGGTCCTAAGGAACTACAGAGACCTAAGTCTCTTCATGATTAAAAGCAGCCCCTTAAAGTCAGTTTGACAGGTAAAGCAGTAAGCTATCCAGGCCCACCAGACTGAGCATGATCCAGGAGAGGCCAGGCCCCAAGTGAACAGAGGCAGGCCCACTGAGGGGTTAGCCTGAAGAGTGCACCATGTCTGTTTGCCAGGCACTGGCTTTGCTTTTTCTTATGGGGATGGGACCAGGGGCCTCAAAAACACTCTACCCTGAGCTACACCCCAGCTCTCAAAGGCACTGTAATCAAGGGTCATTTTACCCCAGTCTTCCAGAGAACCATTTTTTACTTTTTTGCCTAGGACACAGAGGATTTTTCAATTTGTTTCTTGTATAGTGATTGTTTTCAAATTGCTTGTATTGATAGATTAGATCATAGGCAACTTCTCCCTCTTTAGAAGTATTCCAATGTGCAGATGCTGAGGAAGTTCAACCAGAAGATTGCACAAATACTGAGGGAGAAAAATGGATGCGAGGGTGAAAATGATAAGCCTGTGTTGGGCTAGATCCTTCACACTCAAGAGTCTGAGGGGCAGACATCCTGAGCAGGGAACCTGTTTCCAGTTCTATGCTTGGTGGGTTCCCTCTTCCTCCCACCATCCTTGAGCTCTTCCTGTACTCACTACAGTTCTGAGAGGAAGGCAGGAGCAAGCAGACATCTGCAGATCTACCATCTGCAGAGCTGAGTGACTCTACCCAGTCACATTGTGAACATTCTGAAAGTACTTGCATTCTGCTGGGCTCTGGCAATCCAGGTCAGCCACAGGTGTGTTCTTGGCAACTTGATAGAGAGTCCAGCAAGGTCATTTTATCATCACAAACCGTCCTCCTGGGTCAATTTAATATGGGCAGTGATGATGTAACCCAGGCTGTCACAGCAAGGCATCTGTCTCTGCCCAGCAGGGCATCAAGAAGAGAATTCCAGGGAAGTCTGAGGAGGTTTCAGAGGAGGCATTCCCTGCAATGACACCCTCCCCACCCCGCCCGCCC